CGGTTGCAGGCATTATTGTTATATAATACCGAAGTGATAAAACTATTTTACCTACGTACAATATCATATTATTATATTATACTATTATTATTATACCTTACGTGGACGGTGTCCAGAAGACATTATACGCACATGGCGCGACGAACGATATAAAAAAAAAAAAAAAAAAAAACAACAACAAATTAATAATAAACCAATTATACGCAGTCGTGTACGACCTTCGTCGAGTCGTCCGGAGACGGCGGCGGCGGCGGCGACGACGACGACGACGACCGCGACGACGGTCAAACCGGTCGACGGGGACCGGATGAGACGCGCGACGATCGAGAACGGACGCACGCGGTTTCCTCTCGACCCGTCGCCGTTCAGCAAAAACCCGATTAACTATACTACCGCCGTCGTCGTCGTCATTAATAATATTATTAGCATTTATACAGAAATGTTTTCGGCTTGCCGCGTGTTGATACCATATTTTTTATACATCTCTCCCCCCCCCTGCCTTGATCGTCTATTTTTATTATTACCCTATATTAATAAAGGTATTATACCATGCCCGTGTAATAATAAAAATCGAAATTATTACAAGTTACCGAACACAAAGCCGTATCAGTATAATATGGATTAACTTTGGATATTGAATTAATTATTCAATTATATAGAAAGTATTTAAATACAATGAGTGAAAAACTCAATAATTATCGATGATTATGTAACGTAAATTAATAAAAAACACGTTTTTTGTTTGTTTTTATTATTATAATATAATATATTATTACTATTTCATCATTATTTAGTGCAAGTATTGATTCAATATTTTTTTTTCATTAATATTTAAATTCAAAGTTTTGAAATTTCAAGACTCCCCCACACGCACACCACTCACTTCAATGATTGTTTATACAAAGAGATATGATTATTATTTAATCAGCTCATGTACTTTGTAGTTTTAAAATAATTATTGTGATACAATATGTATCGGTGGAGTAACTACAAGGGGTATATTATAATATTAGACCTACATCATATTAATATAATATTATCCTCAAGAACCTTTTTTTTCTCGTTTACTTGTATTTTAGCTTACAATATTTATGATCTTAATATAAAAATTAATCGGGACATGTCCCCTGAACTTTATAACACACGTTTTCTATTACCTTAATACATAGAGAAACATATTATTATTATTATGTCTTGTAATAAAGATTTTAGTATCTCGATTCTTATCGACTTATCCAGTATCTATCCGGTAAATTCAGATGACAAAATATATAATACCTATATAATATGTATAGTACCTATATGTCCTATACCTATGACAGTCATGATATCATCTGTTCACATTATTATAAAAAATAATAAATTTGAATGAATTATTAAAAATACTATATGTAGTATCGAACATTATGTTTGTTTTTTTACTCGAGTGAGTTATGAAAATATGAAATATATATACATCACCCCCCCCCCATACTACTTCACTGATATGTATATCTAATTCTGAGTTGAATAAAATTATTATTATAATGATAGTGCTCTAGGAGGCCGCCTACCCCCGCGACGCTTTATGGAATTTCGCTAAAAACACGATTTGTCGATTTGTTTACGCGTGAAATGATAATAATAACAAAACCATTTACGATGGGTGCGTATCCGCGTAGGTACGTTATCGTACATAACAATATTATAGTATATAGGATACAAAATAATATATCAGTTTTATAAAATATTAAATGCCCGTGTATCGATAGCCCATATATATGTAGGTATAATATTATGTGTATTATTACGATCAATTCCAGTCTATTGATCGCCAAAGAAATTAAATTCGGCTTTATTATTATATTTTACAACATATTAATGTATTATACTTGGTTGCATATCGCGCGGTAACAATTACACGATCGCGGGCTTATTGTTATTATTATTATTATAATATGCCCATCTATGATGTTTATAGCTGTTATGGAAACGTGGATATCTGGGACCGATTATATTTTCGTAATCCCATAATGCGTATTTCCACCGATTTTTGAACCCCTTCACAGTTCACGCAATGTAGCACATAATAGTATAATATGGTTTTACTGGTTATATGTCGTGTACCTATATAATGTAGTGTGCAGTTTGGTTCAGTGTACCAACAAAATAATATAATAATATTATATACTATGCACACGACTGCAGCGACACCAGAAGCGTTCTCGAAACATAAAATAATTCTATATTATTATATTTATTGCATTCGAACAAACTGCTGCATGTCGTCAACGACAACGTGCTGACGGATTCGGCGGCATTAAAACTCTTATTTTTTGTAGGTATGGAAAATATGTATAATAACACGCCGAACGAGGGCTGTATTCCAAAACAATATATTATATTATCAACAACTCGATACGTGTGTATATAGGTACTCTGTCGTGAGAGCAAGACATAATATTATATAATTATCGGTATTTATATTTATATATAATACAATGTCGATAGGGACAAAATATTATTGATATTCCGTCGCATGTGTGGTTTCCAATATACCTACGCGTTTTTATTTATAATATAAATGTTTATAGAAATCCGCTACCCAAACGTATACGTTTTAGAACACTGTAATTCAACAATATTACAAATATACTAAATATAGACAGTCTCTGCAACCATGGAGGCGTAGGTAGTATTGTCAAATCTATTTATAGCCAATATTATATAATATTAGGATTTACTATTTGGATTCTTTACGTCCTGTACGTCTATGCGTCGTATGCAATGTAATATATGTATTACGTATGAATAAGACTATGTCAATTTGACTATATTTCGAATTGTTGTAACTAAAAAAATCACACATATTTATATTTAGTACCTGAACAGATGATATTGTGCTGTAATTTTGTAACATGATTCCAGTATTTATATACAATGATATTACGATGTGCATTCCAATAGTTATTGTTTATTGGGGTTAATTAATATTTGAGTCATTCCCATTCGTATTGTACGAAATATAGAAAATACGAATGTACACTCATCTCTGCAGTTGTAGAGGTATAATAACTAGTTTTTAAAAAATAAATTATCTTATAGAAATGTAATGCGTAAGAATCCAACAATTGAATGTTCGAGTTTTCATAGGTCCACTACTAAACCTAACTGTTGTACAAAATTCAATTTTTGGTGTTGATATTGTATTGAATCTAATTAGAATAATATTATGTACATAATGAAATAATGAATACAGTAAAAAAAACTCCAATATACCATCAGCTTGCATCAGTATTAATTTTTAATTTTTTTTTTTTAAATGTCGTTTATTTATGAAAATTTACAATCTATACAAAAATGGTACAATAAGTAAATGTTTATAATGATTAAAAGTGGCGATGAGGGGAGTACAATTAGTAGAAGTTTCACATTAGAATTTAATTTTTTATAAAAGTAAAACAGATGTAAATACTATATACTTTATTTTGTTTTAAAAATGATATCAATAACATATTAATTAAGATTTATCTGAATTATAAACAGTGAACTGAATTAAATAATAACACAATAATATACCTATATAACATGGTGTACCTCAATACTGTTACACATTTGTGTCCAAATATTTTTAATTTTTAATTTATATAATTGAATGGAATTTAATTAATGTAATAAAACTGATGCCAGTATTAAAATAACTTACCGGTGTACCAATGCATTGATTATAAAATATAATTATATATAGAATTCATTATAATCATATTGCACTATAATTATAATAAATAAATGATTTAATAATAATATAAGAACTATTATTAAAAATTTATAAATAATAAATTATTTTTGATTGATAATTTACTAGAGGGTAATTTACAAGAGGTAATATAAATTATTATCTTGAAATATTATTATTAGGTACAATTTATAATTTATATAATTATTATATTATTACTGTAGCTGTTTTTCCTAATGTATCATTTAGTTTAGGTACCTATGTATGTGTGTAATTAACTGTGATATAATAAACGAATATTTATAATCTTACTTATAATGTTGTAGGGCAATATTTTAATATGGGTTATATTTTGTTATAAATATGAGTAATATGACTATCATAAAGACGCTTTTAGTCTAAAGATACGGAAAATATTTTATAGTCTATTACTGCGGGGTCGTTTTACCTACGTGTCAAACATGGAGGTGTGAGACTTCAACAGTGAAAAGTGAAAAAATTTTTAAAATTAAATAAAAAAAACGTTTCAAACGATCTGCACGGACAACCGGTGAAAAAGAAAACAAACAACTGCAAAAGGCACATAATATATTATTATTATAGGGGTATGTAACTATATATTTAGGTGGGTAATAGACAGCACGATTGTTAAAAAACGTCTATAAAAAATATATATTATATTTCAATTTAATTTAAAAAAATCGCAAGCGATAAAAATCGAGAGTGGACAACGAAACGGGCCGCAAAGGAAAGGCGGGCGCGCGCGCACACTGTATACACGCACGTGAAACTCGCGGGCGCACGGCGTATGCACAACAGCAGTACGACAGTACGATATAATATTATGCCGAACAGTCGCGGAGGAGGATGCGTGCGCGTGAACGTCGAAGGGGGCCGCGTCGGCGGCGTTGGCGGAGGCGAGCGGCGTCGACGGCGTTTTGCGGTATAGCGAGGCGAGCGAGGGCGGCGAAGAAGGGGCGCCAAAAGTCCTCCGGTCGTTACGTCGGACACATACACGTAGGGTGGTGGCGGCGGCGGCGGCGGCGGTGGTGGGCGCCGTATTCTAACACGGGCGTCGTCGTCGTCGCCGCCGCCGCCGCCGCCTGAACAAGCGTTGACCGGCGACGGCGTCCCCCACCAACGCCGCCGCAACCGCGTCGCGTCCAACACGCACACGCACACTCGCAAGCGCGTGACGTATACACAAACACACATCCGCGCGCACACACGGCGCGCCCGCACAGTACGTCGACGCGAGCTCCGTAGGTGTGTGTGTGTGTGCGTGTGTGCGTGTGTATGTGTGTTGACGCCGTTGCGTGAAACCGTCGACGCTTGCCGATTGGCCGGGCCGGTCTCGACCAATCCGGACGCGACTCTCATTAACACTCGGACCGGGGCGTCGGTGTTGTCACATCGCCGCCGCCGCCACACAGTCAGTCGGCACCGAGCGCGCTAACCGTTGTCGTCGTCGTCGTCGTCGTTGTTGTCGTTGTGGTCGTAGTAGTAGTGTGGCGAGTCGTCTCTACACGGCCCCCCCGTGTTTGCACATTATACGCGCGCACACACCACCGTCATATTTTTTAACGTTAATACATGAACACATAAAATATTTTATAATCGTCGTCGCGTCTAATATTATAATATTAAAAAAAAATTTTTCACGTTCGAAAATATTCGTCGTGACCGCGTGCGCACAACAGCAGTCGACCGTCTCGCGTGTGATACTCGATATAATAATAATATCTGTCTTAAATAACACCGCGAGGAAAGAATATAAGTTTCGTTTCGTATTGGATTTTTTTTTCACTTTCCGTACTCCGTCAATCACTCGCGGTAAACATTTGTGAATGCTCGTGCAGGAGTCTGGTCCACCGTAGTGGCTGGGTCAAACGGTAACGGCGTGGACGGCGTGGCTGTTATGCGGTTCGAGCAAGCGGACCTCAGGTGCCGGTCACCCCGTGGGGCACCGGACACCCCGCAAACCGCTGCCGCTATGACCGGCGGCCAACGTTCACCAGACACATCGTTCACGGCGGCCCGTGCGTCGTCCACCGACTTTTCCGTCAGCTCGCTGCTGACGAACAACAACAACAGCAGCAGCGGCGGTGCGCCGCCGTCCACAGTCCAGCAGCAAGCCGGTGGCCAGCAACAGCAGTATCCGCCGCCACCTCCACCGCCACCCGGTCTGTCGGCCGCGGCGGCCGCAGCGTATGCCATGGGTGCCTGTTATCCGGGCACCATGATACCCATGCCGAAGATGCACCATGGCCCGCATCACCCGGGCGCCGGTAGCTATCCGGCCGAAGAAATGCTCGCGTTGGCCGCGGCCGTCGCGCACGGCGTACACCATCCACACCCGGCGGCCGCGCTACCCCGGTCTGTGGTCAGGCCCGAGGACGACGGAGTGGTCGACGATCCCAAGGTCACGCTGGAGGGCAAGGATCTGTGGGAAAAGTTTCACAAGCTCGGCACCGAAATGGTCATCACCAAGTCTGGCAGGTCGGTCTTGATAAAATATAATATTCACTTTTTTAATTTAAGATTATGCCTGACTATAATATTGTCTAATACTATAAACGTTAGGATTCCCTAGCCTACCCATAGAGTTTGTGAGTGTTAAGTAAATAATATAAATTATACGATATGATTTCTCTTTTTGAAAATATAATCACCGGCCGTTTTGGGCCAATTTTTTCTCGAGCGTTAAATATTATTTCGGTAATAAAAGTAACTTATAATTATTGCGCCATATTATTAACGATGATTCTAATCTGCGTGATTTACATATTTGTATTCATAAGACCGTGTAGTATTATAAATAGCCAGATAGGCATATAGGTAAATGGAAATTTCATGTTATTGCTTAAAATAAATTAATTTTATTGTTGGTGGTATTTATAGTGGGAATATGAAGTATTAAATTTTTTTTTTAATTTCCAATCAAAATTTAACGCTTCATTATTATATTGCGATCAATTGGCATTAGCCTAACTATTATGTTTACCGTACTTTAGTTTTCTAAACACATTTTGGTCAATTTGTGCCTTAAATATTAAATTGAAACTAAAACATTGGCTGGTTAATATAAAGTAACTGTAATGACTAACGTATATATTATATTGTTTCTTATACATTTAAATAAATGTTTCGTAATTTTCAATCCTCAATTAAAATAAATTAAGGCGACGTAGGTACCTATCTAGTTTTTAATTTTTTTTTTCTATTTTAAGTTCTATTTTCTAGAGTAATTTTTTCAACAACAATTAGCTATAATCAGTTAGTGCCATCGCACTGCAGAATGCATGTTGGCAAGTAGGTATAAAGTACCTACGGTATTGTAATTATATCGTGGTTCGTAATGTTCTATTGATAAACTATTAACGTCGCCTTGGGGCCATAAGGAAAAGCTGTCGCGCAGCCCACACGACCAAATCGCCTTAAACACTACAATGTAAATATATAATATATAAGTGCAGTGTGTGTGTACGATCTTTGGCGCCAGACGACAATTAAACCCAACATTATGGACGGATTTCCATTATGATGATGATGATGATGATGATGATGAGTACTATGACGATGTGCCTAATCACTATAACGTCGTCGCTTCTGTTTTTTAACTGCTGCAGTAATAGCGTATAGTATAATAGTAAAGTTGTATAGCGTGTAAATAAATAAACAGTTTATCAATAATAAATGATGATCCGGAAATTGCAATTTCTATAAACTATTATTGCACCTATATTGTACAATATACACGATCGAAAACTTAAATCTTAATTTTATTTCAACCTTATAATATGATGTGTAGGCAGTACCCGATCGTGGTTAAACGGAAAATACGTCCATCTTCTCGTTTGAAATAGCTGAGTTTAATTTTGGATTTTAACTTATTTTATTTAAGCACCGGCTGTGATGACGTGAATTTCATCGCGTCGATTTATTGTCGCTTTTGACGTTGTGTGGAAATATTGAAAAATGTCCGTTTTATGCGCAACTATTAATATTATATAATTCAAAAACGTCGAAGACGTATACAGCAGCATAATATATGAGTACTATAATATTATATATTTGCAATTTCATTATTATTGTTGTTATTTGCTACCTGCTTTCTCGACAAACAATAATCGTTTTCGTTTAGTTATACTCGATTTACATGCAAATGTATTTTATCCAACCGTATAACAGAATAAATTAACTTACAACGCTGTGTGAATGGGATATCCACAACAGATAACAACACGTATTACGTTTTTGAAAATTTTGTATTTTAACTAATTGTAGAATGTGTTTTGTTAAATTGTTTGGTCAGTTGAATCCGGTTGAATCGATGCTGGATTGTTAAAAATGAATCACTCTTGAAATAAAAAAAAATAACATGTATGAATGGGGATGCAATATTTGTAATTTTAATAATACCCACTGTAATATTGTTTCATTGTTTACATACCTGGCATATTATTGGTATTATTTAATATTTATTTATAGGTAGGTACATATATATATATATTTTATTACATAATAGTTGTATACGTGCTTAGCTAGAGAATATAAATATGAATATCATATTGACCGTAGTGAATGTAACTCCCTAAATGCAAAATATTATTTACATTTTACAACTAACTTGTAAATATTACTGTCTAGATATTGCAATCTGTGCCTTGTACTTCAAGAAGCATCTAAATTGTTGACTATGTTGACATCATTCAACGATTAGGTTGACAAGGTTATAAAATCAATTATTTGAAAAGTTACACAACGCATAGTGTAAACGATAAATATTTCTAAAGATTCCAGCTGTAAATATATAATAGTGTTCTACATAAACTTTTATTAAATATGCAAGAATAGCACTTGAATGGTTTGCTTTTATGTTTAAAGTGGATATTATTTATAAGTATTAATAACATAGATTTTAATCAATTTCAAGTTTTTTGTATGCACATGGTTTTGCAAAGAAAGTTTTACTTATATACATTAGTACATTGCGGATATAACGCAGACTATTGTAAATTTGTTGATGCAAATGCAACAATCAAACTATTATTCTAAATTGTAATTGTAATTTTATTTATTTATCAGTTTAATTTTATATAATAATATAATATATCATATACCCTAAGTTTAAAATGTTTTTAATGAGTGATTTCTTTCTCATGTCGTTATAACAGTCAACAAAACTCTACCATCAACAATCTACGCTGTCAATGTGTGTTTGATATTGTATAGATTTTTTATAACCGTATAATAATAATAATAAAAAAAGTGTGATAATAGGTTTAAGTATGGATTACGTTATAATAGTTTTGATTTTTATACTAACGTTCGAACAAGTAATTTTTATTTTGCTGTAAATTATTTCAAAATTATTAAATTTATGCGATAAATTATTTTCTAAATCTATTTTATTGATGAAAGTGGATTCTATATTTTTCTAAATGTACATTTATTAATATCTCTAACAAAATTCCTGTATTTACTGACTTTAATCAAAATAATTATAAAACTATAGTTTATAGATGGGTACAATAGAATTTATTATTTTAGTATTTGAAACTATATTATAGAAAACTAATATTAACTTCAACCGCTGATAGGTATTATAGTTTTATTTATTTTTTAATTTTAGCAGGTTTACTGTTTATTTTGATAATAAGATATAATTATTCTATCAGTTATATACAAAAATAATTTTATATAGATTTACAGATACCCCCATAATAACCATTTATAACATAATATGTATACCCACATGATAATATAATTATAGGTACATATTAATATTGAGGCATTTAAAGTACCTGAATAATATAATTAAATAACTCCAAAGGATTTACATAACCTATTTTATTAAATCGATTAATATTATACTTAGATATTTTATCTACTAAATGTGTGACTTCAATGTATTAATCAGTTAATTTAATGATAATGAATTCTACATTTCAAATTAAAATAAATGTTTATAACTGAAGATATATGAAAAAACATATTAAACATTAAGTTTTATAAATACAAACTATGTTTTAGTATTAATAAATATTCTGTACTTATTATAACAACTATTGTGAGTAATTAAAATATAATTGTCTTGGTCGGTCGAGCAGCGGTCATTGTTAAAAATGTTATTATATAAGAATGTAATATACATTTGTATACATTATGTCTTGGTTTATTTTTTTGCTGAAAATTTGCATAAACAGTAATTTGTATTCTTAAAAACACAGAATTAATTGACTTAAAATTACGTTTATGTTGGATAGCAATAATAAATTGATGAAGTGTTGATAAAAAAAATCAATGTTTCTTTGTATTTAGCACATCAATCGTGTAAAGATACTCATAAATGGTAATTTTATTTCAAAGACTTCTTATTCTCTTTTTGGAATTAAAAATATTTGTCAGTTCTTCTCACACTTTCATACTGTGCGCTGTGCTGCTTTTTGTAGTAATTTTTTTTTTTTAATTTTTTTTACTTCCGACCCCGCGTATTATTCGTAGTATTGTATACCGGGTATTCATTTAATAAAACGAATAATATTGCATTTGAGTTACATATTATTTCTGAAGAAACGATTATAGTATATTATGTGTATACCTGATGTATATACCATGTGAAACACTGTACAAAAAACATAAGTTAATTCATTTTAGAGTTAATTATATTCTGGCACTATAGAACTATGCATAAACCTTTTGAAATAAGCTTTCAAAATTGTTTTCTCATGGTATATTTTATCAACTATCAATTAGCATTTTAAACATGGATATACCTGTAAATATATTGAATTTACCTATATAAATTGCAAACTATAAAGTATACAATACAATTAATAGTAATTGTTATGATTTATGAACATAACAACGTAAATTATATCGGCCAAAATTATAACTGAAAACCAACAATTTTCGTAAATTGCCGTTAGCCGTATTGCCTTTATATATTATAATATTATTTTATTTTAAAATTAATTTCCAATCGCAGTTGTTGACACTTGAGGCGCAGTGTCGTTCAGCTGCAGTGGGTATAGTTATATTATCCGTCGCATAGAAAATTGCAGATACCCTATGACTGTTGATAATTAAATGCGTTAATAGAATCAACCTCTTACTATACCTATATATGTATCGGTAATGCGCATTATTGCAGTCTGCGAGTTCAATTTATAATTTATATGTGTATAATAAACCCACGCGTTATATATAGATATACACTTATTTTTTTTCTATTTTAATCTATGATTTTACCAAGGACTGGGCAATAATAACAATAATAGTAATAATAAAATGTAATAATGATGGGGACGATGATATTATCAACGTTATATAGGTAGACGGACATAATAATAACAACAACAACATCATCATCATATAGTACACCTATAATGTACGACAATCATTATTATATGATGACCGTGTACGTACGGTGTGCGAACGGATAAAATAATAATATCAACATGTTATTATTTAAGCACTTATATATTTTGATATTA